TAGATGTAAGGTAGCTTTATGGAGAGTTTTTTTTGTTTTTGTTTGTTTTTTTTGGTAAATGAGTAAAGGTATTCAACAAGGCTGAGTGAGATACTTCTTGTATTTTCATATTAATGTCTTTGAATTTATAATATTTAATCCCACATCTCATTCATTTTACTAAAGAAATCTCCTTCCTTCCCTTTTCCCTTCCTCCATTCTCCCTTCTTTCCTCCATCCCTCCCTCTCTCTCTTTCTACAGGTGTGTTTTAAATTATGTTAATGTATTTAGGGGTATTAAGTCAATCTGTTTGACAGGACATTGACTTTTGATAAGATTAGATCTGACATAGAGGGTGATGAATTATTTAGTAGCAGTGCATTTCATTGCAGTTACATTCCACTGAAATGGGAGAGAAATTAAGATTTTTCCCAAGGAAGCTTTCAGCCAGACTTTCAAAAAAAATCTGAATGTGTCCTGGTGAGCACAGCTTCTGTAGAGCTCAGTCTTTAAAACATTTATAGAAACATGCCAATTAAAAAGTCACCATTATCATGTTTGCCCTTTCTTTTGTCAATTTCATGAGGTCAGTTATGCAATTGTATGGCTTACCTTCTTATCCCTAGAAAGTGATGCCCTAAGTCACCTTTCAGGAACTTCACCTAGGTAGCTTTCCATTTCTTCCCTTGGCTGTTTTTCCCCCTTAACACATCCCCGTGGTGTTTATTGATGAGTATCAGTTGGTAAGCACAGAAGAACTACCTAGGGTCAGTTTTGGAATGTTACCTTCCCAGTCTTATCTTGAGTGATAAAACCAATGGTGCTCTGAAGGGCTTTGAATTTTATTTTCCTGAAAGGTGACTTTGCAGGATCACCTCACAGGAATAAGAAGATGGTCATATAAGTCATTTCTATTCTGTGAGTCATTGTGCATTTCTGCTGGGGTCTCCTGATCCAAAGTGTGCCTTTTGCATTTCTGCCTCTGGTCCCACTTTAATCTAGAGATCCTGATTTGTCATCTGTATTTTGGATGTCTTTATTGGCTAGATATTTTATTTTATTTTAAATAATATGAATGATGACTATATTATATGAAGAGGGGACCCCTTTCCTTCCTATTTTCCTTAACTACAATAACATTTTAAATTCTATCTGGTACGTGTGATTCAGTCCAAACTATATGGAGAGGCCAGATTCAATCACTGTTAAAATTAGTCTACAGTTGTTGTTTCCCTTATTATTCTGGGAATGTTTTGATTCCATTAACTTTTGTTATTTGACAGAGGTGACTTTTAAATTTTGAAATTCAAAATTTTTAATATAACATAGCATTCTATTTGTTGTCATATTCTTTCCAAGTTCCTATTAACATCATTAGTAATATTTATAAGAAAACACTGTACATTTATAAATATTCATTGGGTGATTGGAACCTAAACCTGAATTAATATATATTTTTGTCTACATTCCCAAATGGCCAACTTTTGCTCCATATACCCACTAGTCTAAAATATATAGCTGAGAAGCAATAAATTGAAAATATGGTTGTATCTGAAGACAATGAGTTGAAAAAACATATATTCTCAATTGCTGAAATTTTCATTCTTTTGCAAGGAATTTGCTTATCACTCTGTAGCATTTTTTCTTTTTAAACATAGAATTGAAATGTTATGATAAATGTATATAAAATAAGGGTTTATATATTCTTGACACTGGTGCTTTTCCCTATACCACAAGTTTTTGTATGTTGTTTTTTTTTCCTTTCTCTGGCCAACTTTCCACCTCTGGTTTGCATTACGTATCCCTGCAGGCCCCTCACCATGTTGGCCAGGGTCTGACAGCTGCAAAGGGTCCCTCAGAATTATAGAGATACTTTCAATGTGGGGATGAGCACCCAGCCTGGTTCAAGTGGCAGATGGTCATAAAATTTCTCCTATATTTCTTACCTTTCTCACTCTGCCAAACACCCAGCCAGAAGTACACAAAACAAATAAATCATGTAAATATAGAAAAAAGGAAGGGACATCTTTGTGTACCCTCTCAGTTGCCTAGCTTTTTTTGTGTTTTGTGACTGTCCGACCTGTCCAAGTGGCATTTGTGTCTAAATCCCAATGGTGGTCATGCATTTCAGTGGCTGATTTGTTAGGGTCCTAGGAAAATGGAGAACAAGAGAACACTCTGATAGTAGTAATTGTAATAATGGACAACACCTGGCCTGTACCTCGCCCTTTGTAGATGTTTGCCTATTTGCCAGGGTGACCAGCACTCTCAAGACTCACAGCCAATCAGTGACTGAGTCGGCTTCCCTTCTGGACTGAGCACTCCTGAGACCTAGCCTAACCACTCTACTGTCACCTTTTGAGTGCTTTCCAGTCCCTGAATGTGTGGAGATTTTATGATAAGCAGCATCTATTTCTCTGTCTCCCTCTGCCTGCCCTGCCCCAAGTTATTGTGGGGAGGAAGTGGAAATGTCTTTCAGAGAAAAGTGGGAGATTTTTTTAATCCTTAAAAAAATATAATTACCCACCTAAATATAGTCCAGCTTCCAAGGAACCTGGAGTTTAGAGAGGGTAAATGACTTGCCAAGTTTCCACCAAAATGATGAAACCAAGAGTGTAACCTAATACTCCTGACTTACATCAGCCTTATAAATAGTGATGTGATAGGAAGTCAATATTTGGTTGAAATACTCACTAAGTTTTTATTTGGTTCGTGTGGACATTGGCTAAAATCTCTGATATTTCTGTAACCATTCAATAGTGATGTTGATGGGTAAAGAATCTAGCCACATTTTTGGTGAAGGCAGAATGGTATTCAATTGGAAGTTGTCCTAAATTAAATGGAAATGAGTGTTTTGTGAAAAATTTAAGCATATTGTTTATTCCCCTTACTAAAATCTCTGATATTTCTGTAACCATTCAATAGTGATGTTGATGGGTAAAGAATCTAGCCATATTTTTGGTGAAGGCAGAATGGTATTCAATTGGAAGTTGTCCTAAGTTAAAAGGAAATGAATGTTTTGTGAAAAATTTGTATTGAATCAATTTAAGCATATTGTTTATTCCCCTTAAGTACCAAAGTCTAGTAAACTCTATCTTCATGTAGGCATCTGCTTTCTATTCTTTAGGAACATGTATGGAATATGGATAATTCAGGGACAGGAAAATTTAGTTCACAGGTTATTTTATTTTATTTATTTTTTCCTCAGATTTATTTGAGCTGAAATTTATTTGCATTTGAAACTCAATATGAGGGTTTTTGTTTGTTTGTTTAGTGTGTTCTTCTTGGTCTTATTATTATTCTCTCCTTCTTGGTTTTTATTTATGTATATTAATGACATACATTTGTCCAGAGATTTTGGCAGCAAGTACATTTTTAAAAGCAAAATAAAAAAAAAAGTTCAGCAGTAATTTCCATCTTTCTGAAGAACTTATTCTACAGTAACACCCTCA